AGAATGAAGGGGTTGAACCAGAGGAAAGTGAAGTTCTGTGGTCATGCTGGGGCGTGGGACGCTGTCCTGTCCTGGGGCCTGGGCAGGAGGAGGGGCCAACCCTTTGCAGCCTCAGGACCAGAAGAACCTGAGACAGAGACACAAAGATCTGGCGGCACTGGTTCCGAGGTCAGGGCCCATGTGGCTTCCCTTAGGGCTCATGTACATGCTGCTGAAGCACCTGGTAGACAGATACAATCTCTACTACGCCTACCTGCCGGCCAAGCTGGACAAGAAGATCCACTCGGGGGCTGTGAACCAGGTGGTAGCCGCACCCATCCTCTGCCTCTTCTGGCTGCTCTTCTTTTCCACCATGCGCACGGGTGAGGGATGCCCACCTAGGGAACGGGGGGTGAGCAGAGGGGATTCCAGGTAGAGCAGGTCACAGGAGGAGCTGCATGGCAGGGGGTGGGAGGCAAGGAGCCTGGGAGAGGCTGGGGTGAGGGTGTAGCACCTGGAAGAGTGAGGACTGCATTCAGAGGGTATCAGAAGCTGGGATGGAGAGGCCTGAGGGGCCCACAGAAGAGATAGCAACCGCATTCTTTGCCCCCAACACCAGGGTTCCTAGCACCCACGTCTATGTTCACATTTGTGGTCCTGGTCATCACCATCGTCATCTGTCTCTGCCACGTCTGCTTTGGACACTTCAAATACCTCAGTGCCCACAACTACAAGGTGTGGGGCAAGGGTGGAAGGGGGATGGCTATGGGCAGGAGCTCAAGGGGATGCAGAGGGCCCCCAGGGCTGGCAAGGGCTGAGGGCAGCACCAACAAAGCCAAGTGGGTGTGGGGCCTTGATCAGGGCTGAGGACATGCCCCCACTCCCTGACTCATTCTGGACCCCTCAAGATTGAGCACACGGAGACAGATACTGTGGACCCCAGAAGCAATGGACGGCCCCCCACTGCTGCTGCTGTCCCCAAATCTGCGGTGAGTGCCCCTAAGGGTTGGGAGGGGTCTCTGACAGACTCTGCCTCAAAGCCGGATGTCCCCTTAGTCCTGCAGAAAGGGAAACCTGTACCAGACCCCATGGGTGGGGAGAAAGCTGGTCTCCATGGAGGGCCACCCCCACCCCCAGGGCCCTGCCCACTCTGCTGTCCTACAGGCCCTGGTGCTCCCTCCACCCATGAGGGGCAGCTGTTCACCTTACCCCCAATTCCTCTCCCCCTTCAGAAATACATCGCTCAGGTGCTGCAGGACTCAGAGGTGGACGGGGATGGGGATGGGGCTCCTGGGAGCTCAGGGGACGAGCCCCCATCATCCTCATCCCAAGATGAGGAGTTGCTGATGCCGCCTGACGGCCTCACGGACACAGACTTCCAGTCTTGCGAGGACAGCCTCATAGAGAATGAGATTCACCAGTAAGGGGAGGGAGGGCCCTGGAGGCCGCATCCTGCCCCACCCCACCCCCACTCCCACGGACACTAAAACGCTAATAATTTATTAGATCTAAAGCCCCTTCCTCCCAAGCCCCTGCTTTCATTAAGGTATTTAAACCTGGGGATTTCGCCGCTCTCCCCCATGATGGAGGGAGGGAGGGAGCCCCCCAACCTCAGTAAGGAGAGCCCCGAGCCGGCCCCGGGGCAAAGAGGGGTACGGAGGGAGTTCCCCCAGATCAGTACCCCCACCCCTCCCCAGCTAGTAGCATGACCAGGAAAGGGTTAATGAGAACTGAGAGGAGTACCTGGTGCCATGGCTGGAGACCTGGGGAGGCAGGTGGATCAGGGGCTGTCCCCCAGGTTCCTTCCTCCCCACAGTTCCTCCTGGGATCCCGCCCTCCAGGGAAGTGGAGCCTCCAGCCCCTAGGGAATGCATGAGAGGGGAGGGGGTGCTGAGTGGGAGGAAGAGTCAGGCTCAGAGCTAAGGTGGCCTGGGGGTGGGGGTGGGCAAGGCTGACACTGGAAAATGGGTTTTTGCACTGTTTTTTTTTTTTTTTTCCTTTAAAATAAAAACAAAGAAAAAAGCTCTGAGGCAGGTGTCTGACTTGTGCTGCCCTGGGCATCTGGGCTGGGCCTCCCCCGCCTCCTGTCTGGAGGGCCTGTTTGAGGTCCCTGTGTCATGCTGGGCAGGGGACTTGTTCAGAGTCTCATTTCGGTGTCAGGGAGATGAGAGAGTGGGACCAGGGAGAAACTTCAGGGATATCTTAGATGCAGGAAGGGCCCCTGTGCCTAGGTGGCCACCACACCAGCCCCACCTGCTCTGATCCTTCCCCTGAGTCCCTGAGCAACACACGTGGAACAGAAATCAAGGAGAAAAGGTTGTGCAAAGCCACAGGGTCCATGCTGGGCCAGGAAGAAGGCCCTTCTGAGCACTTCAAATTAAGCCTGGCCCCAGCCCATCTGTCCCTTCCCCAGGAGGGCCTGAGCTCCTTGCTGAGAAGCCCCCTCCTACCCTCCAGTCAAATCTTACCCATTCTCCAAGACCCAACTCAAATTCACCTTCCCTTCAGGCATAGTGGCTCACGCCTGTAATCCCAGCACTTTGGGAGGCCAAAGTGGGCAGATCACCTGAGGTGAGGCGTTTGGGACCAGCCTGGCCAACATGGAGAAACCCTGTCTCTATAAAAATACAGAAATTAGATGGACATGGTGCTACACGCCTGTAATCTCAGCTACTTTGGAGGCCGAGGCATGAGAATCACTTGAACCTGGGAGGCGGAGACTGCAGTGAGCCAAGATCGCGCCACTGCATTCCAGCCTAGATGACAGAGCAAGACCCTGTTCCCAAAAAAAAATGTTTTTTCACCTTGGGAGAAAGGTCCTGTGACTGCTGTAGCCCACCCTGCAAAGGCCCACAGGGCCACGTGGTCCACACTCACATACGTGTCCACATGGTGTGTGCTGCTGTATGGCGAGAGCCAGGAGGCCTGCACTCCAGTCCTTATTCTGTCACTAAATCGCTTTGCAACCCTGAAGAAAAGGAAGGAAAAGGAACTCCTAGAGGGAAGAAAAGAGACCTCAGAGGAGGAGGAGGAGGAGGAGGAGGAGGAAGAGGAGGGGGAGGAGAAGGAAGGAGAAGAACCAGGTTCCACAAAGGTCAACAAAAAGCCACCAACAGCAGGAACAGCAAACACAACAACCCAGATAAAGATTGCCCAGGCGCCAGCAAGGAGCTAGAGCAGAGTGCCCAAGGTCCAGCCCCAGGCTGCAGAGAGCTGCGGCAAACAGCTTGGAGGGCCAGTGTTCATGGTTGCTGGCTGTGGGTGGAGGATGGGCCAGTGACAGTGAGATGAAAGTTAAGGCCTTGGTCCTGGCTCCGCCTCCCTTTATATGTCAGATCTGCAGTGTTGTGAAACGTGAACTCCCAGGTAAAGTCCCCAAAGTCTTGGGGCCAAGGGAACAGAGTACCTGCTGGTGGTTGGGCAGAAATTGGCATGGGAAGGAGCACCTTAGTTGTGTGAAAGCTTCCTGATGCTCCCAAAGCCTGTTTTCTGTATGGATGGGCAGGCACACCACTGCCATTTGCCTGGGAATCCCCCTTGTCTGCACAGCATGGGCTGGACAGACCTCAGCCCCCACTTCTAGTTAGCCGAGACTCCCTCATTCCTCACCTGCCTGGCATGCCTTCCCTTTCCTGTAGGATATGCTGGCAGGGCCTGAAGTTCAAAACCAGGTTCCAGCATTTCCAGATGTTAAACTCCAGATAATGCCCAAGTAGTACGCAGAGCAAGGGTCCTGAGGACAGCCCTTCCCAGGGTGGGAGGCTATCATAGAGAGGAACACCTGTGCCCACCTGCACCCTGCCCCTGGCACCTTGTCACAGAGCTCACTCACATCCAGGCAGATCACAGTAGAGAGATCCGAGAGGTGTAGTCATGGACTCAGGAGTGGGTAGGGGAGACCACAGGATCCCCAAAGTCCACTTCCTCCTTTCACAGCTGGGGGCGGCAGAAGATAGGATAAGAGCTGAAGTTACTGGTTCAAATCCTGGCTTGACCACATAACAACCTCACTTTCCTCATCTGTAAAATGAGACTAGCGATGTCATGTCCTCGAGCTGTTTTAAGGATTAAATAAGTGGGAAGTTCTTAGCCCAGTGTTTGGCACATAACAACTGAATAAACTGTAATTAATATTCTTGTAGATAAGGAGATTGAGTCCCAGAAAAGGGGAAGGGGGGAGCCTTGCCCAAGCTCAGCTCCAGTGTCAGAGGCTGGAACAAGTTTCTGTGCTCCCATGAGGTGCTCTCACACCTGTTCTGTGTCGGATTAGCACCAGGCAGGGCTGAGGGGCACTGCGATGACGTTGACCGTCCCCGTCCTCAGCCATCATGCACTCCGGAGCAGAGTTCTTAGCTCAAAGCATTCCCCCTTTCCAGTGCAGAGGCAGGTCATAAGGTCAGACCAGTGGCCTAACCATGCCAGAATGGGGCCCCCCAAGGAGGGTGCTGCAGGTGGAATCGTCCCTCAAAAAGGCATGTTGAAGTCCTGGCTCTCAGTACCTCAGAATGTGACCTCATGTGGATATAGGGTGGTTGAGGATGTACTTCGCTAAATTAAGATGAGGCCATGCTGAATGCCTGGGCCCATAACCCCCTATGACTGGTGTCCTTATAAGAGGAAGAGACACAGAGGAGGGTGCCGTGTGAAGACAGCAACACAAGAAAAGTGCCATGTCAGTGAGAAAGGGGGTTTTGGGAATAAAAGGCCCAAGGTCAGGTTGTAAAGGTCAGGTTGGTGTGTCAGGGACAAACCCTTCCTGGAAACCTTGCGATGAAAGAAAGGGCCTGGGACCTAGCCTGATGGGATGACAATGATACAGTGAGGACAGCCAGGTGGAGGCTGCCCACGGTGGGGGTGCTGGGTCATCTGTCCCTAAAGCGTGGCACTGAGCTGGGGAAGGGGCTGGGTTACTGAGAAGGAGAAAGGCGGAAGGCAGCTGTTAAACGGGCAGCTGACCTAGGAATCCACTGCAATGAGAGAGTTCTGGGGGGAGGGTCTCTTCTCCCCCTCCCACCAGAACCTTCAACTGTCAAGCACTGAGCTAGCCACCAGCATGCAGTCCTCCCCAGGTAGGCACTCATGGGGCCCTGTTTCTGTGCCTGCTGCAGGCTAGGGCCTCCCGCCAGGGAAGGAGCTGTGTCCCCCATCAGACTGGGTGCCCCTTAAGGGTATAGGCAGTGAATCTTCCATCAGACTGGATGCTCCCTAAGGACAGGACCTGGGTCTCTTCCTCAGACTGTTTGGGGAAGAATAGGCGACTGGTGGTCACCCTGGGTGGTAGGCCAGGCGGAAACTCTTCCTCCTCTCCACTGACAGCTGGAGTTGGGGAGAGGAGAGGGACCGGCCATACCACTATCATGGCTGCTGGGGAAAAGGGTTTGTGTGAAAAAGCCCAAGTAGAGAAGAAAACTCTAGAGAACAGAGAAAACTTCTCCCAAGCCTAGAAAAGCAGGTTCCTCAGCCCAGGAAGATGAGATCCTCAGGGTGGCAGGGGCAGGACTGCCTGAGGCAAGCCTGGGACCAAACTCCAGGAGCTGGGGGAGAGTGGGCTGGGAGGAGGGGGCAGGATGGGCAGAACTGAGCTGTTCCTATGGGGCTGGGATGGTCAGAGGTCCGCCAGCCTTGGCTCACAGAAGGTCAGCCCTGTACTTCACTGTCAGCCTGGGACACCGTTAAGACCATGGACCCCTAGACCCAGCCTCCCAGCTTCTCATGCCTTCCCTGTTTAACAACTGACCCTAGGAAGTTTCAGCCTAGCAGATGACCCCAGACCTAGTTCTTGTTCTTCAGAAGTGCCCTGAGCTTAAGCCCAGAAGTTCAAGACCTGCTAGGGCAGCATAGCAAGACCCCATCTCAAAATATAATTAATTAATTAATTACTAATTTTTAAAACATTTCCTAACATAACATCTTAGTTTTTCCCCAGCACCAGAAATCAAACTGTCCCTGAATCTACAGTCCCCTAATAACAATGTATTGCATTCAGAAAATCACTGAGGCCAGGCGCAGTGGCTCACACCTGTAATCCCAGCACTTTGGGGGGCCAAGGCGAGTGGATCACCTGAGGTCAGGAGTTTGAGACCTGCCTGGCCAACATAGTGAAACCCCATCTCTACTAAAAATACAAAAATTAGCTGGGCATGGTGGTGCGCACCTGTAGTCTCAGCTGATCGGGAGACCGAGGCAGGAGAATTGCTTGAACCCGGGAGGCAGAGGTTGCAGTGAGCCAAGATTGTGCCACTGCACTCCAGCCTGGAGCCTGGCGACAGAGCAAGACTCTGCCTCAAAAAAAAAAGAAAAGAAAAAGAAAATCACTGACAGTAGATTTTAAGTGTTCTCACCACAAAAAAGTAACAAGTATGTGAAGTAATGCAGCTATTAATTAGCTCAGCTGAGCCATTCCACAGCGAATACATATTTCAAAACACCATGTCATACACAACAGATATATACATTTTTTTGTCAGTAAAATAAAATAGATTTAGTTAAAATAGATCTACAGGTTCTCAGTCTGAAGGAGGAGACAGGACATGCAGCTGCAGCAGGCTTCCTGTCTGGTCATGCCTTTTCATATGCAGCCAGCCCTGCTTCCCACACTTCGAAGTTTCAATTACCTGCTGTCAACTGCAGTCTGAAAACATTCAGATATCTTGTGAGAGAGAGACCACATTCGCATCACTGCTATTGTTATAACTGTTCTATTTTATTACTTATTATGGTTTACCGCTTACTGTGCCTAAGTTATAAACTAAACTTTATCATAGGTATGTACGTAAAGGAAGACATAGTATTGATATGCACAGGGTTTGGTACTACCTGCAGTTTCAGGTGTCCACTGGGGGTACTGGGAGGTATCCCTAGGTATAAGGGGATCTACTGTGTTGCTCTGGCCATCTGTCTGTGCTTCCCACAGGCAGCCTTGGTCTGTCTGTCTCAGCCTCCTGAGTAGCTGAAACTACAAGCACGTGCCACCACACTCAGCTGATTTTTGTATTTTTAGTAGAGACGGGGTTTCACCATGTTGGCCACATGGGTCTCGAACTCCTGACCTCAGGTGATCTTCCCGCCTCAGCCTCCCAAAGTGCTGGGTTTACAGGTGTGAGCCACCTAAGACATTTAGTTGCCCGGCCTAAAGACATTTTCCATGACAACTGTGGTGATGTGGACAGGTGTGTCACTCCTTCCTGCAAGTCAGAGCTGAGTAATGAGCTCACACCCTGGGGGCTGGGTATGCAGCTTCGAAGCCGGGTTTGGGTGCCAGGCAGTGAGAAATGGCTTGTTGGGCTGGGTGGTGACTAGGGGACAGAGGGCTCTGGGGAAATGAGACAAGGGGCGTGAGGTGGAACCTGCATCGCCTTGGCCTACCCTCTGATATTCTTCCAGTCTTCTCCGACAACAGCATCTTCCCTGGTCCTTCCAGACCCCCAGGAGAGCTCAACACCCTCAGTCCTCAGGGAAGCCAGGGTAAAGGCTGCCTGGAGTGACTGCATGGTGGCAGGGCATGGCGTGGTTTGCCTCATCGTGTGGGTGGCCTTAGATGATTTGCTCAGCCCATGTGTGTCAACCTCAGATCTCTTGACATTTTGAGCTGGAAAATTCTTTATGTGGAGGATTTCCTCTACACTGAGGGGCACCCAGCAGCATCCCTGGCCTCTACCTACTAGATTCCAGTAGCCCTCCTGAGACCTGCCCCAGTTATGACAACCAACATTGCTTCTAGACATTGCCACCTGTTCCCTGGGGGCCATAATCACCCGGGTTGAGAACCTCTGACTCAGTCTCTCTGGGGAGGCCCCTGGCTCAGGTCAGATGGGAATAGTCACCCTGATTTGCCAGCTTCACAGACAGGGATCAGGGGATGACACAGAAGAGTTCAGCTCTCCCCTCCCAGGCCTGCTCTCCACCCTACTCTCGGAAGCCCCTGAGGCTCCACTGTTTATCCCCTGAGCGGGTGAGGGAGCTTCCATTACCATTTCTAAGAGAATCCCAGGAGGCTTGGGTTGGAAGAAGCAGAGTTTGAGAAAAATGGAGGGGAAAAGAGGGGGGAACTCCCAGATTCTGGCTCTACCCACCCTTTTCCCTGCTCCCCAGCCCTGATGCTTCCAGAACGAGGAAGTCAAAGTGCACCCCACCCTCAGGGGAATGGGACGCGCTTACAGCAGGGAAAGGGGGATAGTCACTCCCCCACAGAATCTCCCTGATGATCCCAGCAGCCTGGTGGCCCTTCTTCCTTACACCTTCTCCTGTCTCTGTGGCCCATGGAGCTGAAACTGGGGAGGAATCACGTGGGAACGTCCTCTCCACGCTCCATGTTGGGGGTGAATTCATCTTGACCCCTCAATGCCCGACCCAGGATAAATGCTTTATAAAACATGCCTGGTTGGGCACGGTGGCTCATGCCTGTAATCCCAGCACTCTGAGGGGCCGAGGCGGGCAGATCACAAGGTCAGGAGTTCAAGACCAGCCTGACCAATATGGTGAAACCCCGTCTCGACTAAAAATACAAAAATTAGCCGAGTGTGGTGACGTGTGCCTATAATCCCAGCTACTCAAGAGGCTGAGACAGGAGAATCGCTTGAACCCGGGAGGCTGAGGTTGCAGTGGGTCGAGATTGCACCACTGCACTTTAGCCTGGGCGATACAGCGAGACTCCATCTCAAATAAAACCAAAAAACCAAAAAACATATGCCTAAGGCAAGCTAGGGTTTGCCCTCAGGAGCGCAAACCAGTGACAAAGGCAGACGAATGCACACATGACTCCAATATGGGAGTAGTATCACTAGCATCATTAAATCCTATGATGGAGGGGTGCATATGTGACACAGAGCAGGGGCCATGCAATCCTAGAAGGAGCTCAACAAACGCCAGTTGACCAGCTACGTCAGTAGGGAGAAGGTGACTAACATTTTCTGAGCACCTGTTAAACTCCTGTCTTTTTCACATACATTGCATTCTTCAATCCTGAAACACCCTCCCATGTAGAATGCAGCAGCCTGTATACATAGGTGAGGAAACCAAGGCTCAGGGAGGTCAAACTGGCCCAAGGTCACACAGCTAACACGCTGGCTCCAGTGCAGCTCAAGGCACTAGCTCTGCCAATACGGGACAAGCCACCCCCTATCCAACACTGTTATCCATTCTCAACACCCCCTGTCAGCTGCTCCCCACAGGGAAAGCAACTTCACAAAGACCACACACACGTTGCAGTATGGTGGATGAAGGGGCGCACTAAGGGCGCCTCCCTCTCCAGCACAGCCATGGCCCCTCACCGCGGCAGCCTCCCAGCAAGGCAGCGAGCGTGCCTACGTGCCAGCCCTGACACAAATGCCCACCGAGTCTGAGGAAGTTCAGCCTCTCTGTGCCTCAGATTCTCTGTCTGTAGCAGAGAAATTATAACACTAAGCTTAACCAGTGGGGTTGTTGTGAGGACTCAATTAGCTAATGCACATAGGGTGTTCAGAATAGTGCAATGCATGTCGTGAGCCCTCATACGCTGCTATTATTTTTAGAAACACTATATAAGTGCTCACTACTCATAACTGAGGCAGGAGTCCTAATATCTTCTCATCACAAGCCACAGGCTCCATGGAGATGTGAAAGTCAGGATCCCGAGTCTCCTCAACCTTATTATTTTTTGTTTGTTTGCTTTGGAGATGGGGTCTCGATTTGTCACCCAGGCTGGAAAGCAGTGGAAGGACTATGCCTCACTGCTGCTTCCAACTCCCAGGCTTAATCCATCCTCCCACTCAGCCTCCCGAGGAGCTGGGACCACATGCCCATGCTACCATGCCCAACTAATTTTTTAAAAATTTTATTTTGTATACACAGGAGTCTCACCGTGTTCCCCTTGCTGGTCTCGTGAGGCTGAGAGGGAGGATCACTTGAGCTCAGGAGTTTGAGGTTGTAGTGAGCCATAATTGTGCCACTGCACTGCAGCCTGGGCAACAGAGTGAGACTCTGTCTCAGAAAACTATATAGCCAGGTGCAGTGGTTTCCGCCTATAATCCCAGCACTTTGGGAGGCTGAGGCAGGAGGATCACGAGGCCAGGAGTTCAAGACTAGCCTGACCAATGTGGTGAAACCCCATCTTTGCTAAAAATACAAAAATTAGCTAAGTGTGGTGACTTGGGTAGATTTCCTGAGGTAGGGAGTTCTAGACCAGCCCAACCAACTTGGAGAAACCCTGTCTCTACTAAAAATACAAAATAGCATGGTGGTGCATGCCTGTAATCCCAGCTACCTGGGAGGCTAAAGCATGCGAGTCGCTTGAACCCAGGAGGCGCAGGTTGCAGCGAGCTGAGATCTAGCCACTGTACTCCAGCCTGGGCGACACAGCCAGACTCTGTCTCAAAAAAAAAGGGGGCCATTTGCGGTCTGGGGGTTGTCTGGAAGCCCTGGCCTTGGACACCAATGGTAGAAATGAGAAATTAGGGTCCTATGAGGGGGTTCCTGTGTGAAGGACTCCATGACTGTTTTGATGTGGGATGTGGTGTGTTGGGATCTTGGGGACCGGGAGAACAAGGGGTCATTACAGGGCCTGAGGAAGTCCCAAGGAGGCACTCATGTGGAACAGGAGAAGGGTTTGCTTGGGGCAGAGGCCAAAGGGAGGGGGTGTCAAGACATAAATTCAGCAGCAAATTGCCTGTGGATGCTTTTGTTAACAGATGCTGTGGCTTCCGCCAGCCTTCGGTTTAGGAGAAACACTTCCTCTCAGGAGGCGCAGTATAGGGTGGAGGCTGCAAGCCTGGCTCAGGGTCTGCAGTTGAACTTCATCCCACGCCCAACCCTCACTCTGTGACCTTGGGCAAGCTTCTTAGCCTCAGGGCCCCTGCTCCATTTCGCAGTAATCGGTATCGCAGGAACCCCCTCGTAGGGCTGGCATGCTGGGCACAGAGAAGGCACTCAGTGCTGTCCGCTCTGCTGTTGCAGTTAGTGTCCTGGTTCTGTCACTCGGGGCGCGTGGAATAACTGAGACCTCCTGCTCTTGTCTCTGGGGGACTCACTCTTCTGTGGGCGCAGTCAGGGTCTCACCTCTAAACAATCCCAGAAGCCTGCTGCCCTCCCTGTCGCTGCCGCCCAACCCAGTTCTTTTCCTCATTCTAAAATCGTCCTACACCCCGGCCCCAGCTGGGCTCTGTTTAACTTTAGACCACAGCCTTCCTCCCCTCCTCCCACTCTCTTTCTTATTCTAGGGCTGAGTCTTCCAGAGTCAGCGGAGAGCCTGGACGGATCACGGGAGGGTAAGCCGGGCACGCGTGTCCTACCCTGGGGCTCACGTCTGGGTAGGACTGCAGACCCAGTTGTGTCGCTGCAGCCTCCCTTTTTCTTCCTTCTCCTTCACTCTCTTCTCTTCCTCTGCGCCTGCTGGTGGGGGAAGTCAGTTGTGTTGTGTGGGAGGGCAGGTGAGGCGGGGGACGACCCTCAGGAAGGGATGTGAGCAGTTTGCAGTCCCACTGAGGGTGGAGGTGTGGGCAGGGTGTCCCAAGCCGCCTAGCAGGCACAGGATCCATCAGCCAGCCTGACTCGACTCTTACTCTGACAGTCATCCAGTGCCACCTGCTCGGCCATTACCTGACCCAGCCCACCCCCAGCAACCCCTTCCCTCTGCCTTCTGCTCTCTATAATCCATTATTTTCACTCTCCTTAAAAGAGCCATGTCAGGCCAGGCGCAGTGGCTCAGGCCTGTAATCCAGCACTTTGGGAGGCCTAGGCGGGTGGATCACCTGAGGTCTGGAGTTCGAGACCAGTCTGACCAATAATGGAGAAACCCCGTCTCTACTAAAAATATAAAATTACAGGCGAATGCCTGTAATCCCAGCTACTCAGGAGGCTGAGGCAGAAGAATCACTTGAACCCAGGAGGTGTAGAGGTGGCGGTGAGCTGAGATCGCACCATTGCACTCCAGCCTGGACAAGAGTGAAAGAGCAGTGTCTCGGCCGTGCATGGTGGCTCACGCCTGTAATCCCAGCACTTGGGGAGGCTGAGGCGGGCGGATCACCTGAGTTCAGGAGTTAGAGACCAGCTTGACCAACATGGCAGCATCTGTTTGGATGGTCTGGAGGCCACTTTAAAAACAAACAAACAACAACAACAACAAAAAAAAACAGCTTTATTGAGAGACAATTCAAATACCCTACAATTCACCCATTTAAAGCGTACCATTTGGCTGCGTGCGGTGGCTCATGCCGGTAATCCCAGCAATTTGGGAGGGCAAGACTGGAGGATTTGCTTGAGCCCAGGAATCCAAGACCAGTCTGGGCAACATAGTGAGATCCTGTCTCTACAAAAAATTAGAAATTAAAAATTTAATTTTAAAAAATTAGGCGTGGTGGCACACACCTGTGGTCCCAGCTGCTCAGGAGGCTGAGATGAGAAGGCCTTGAGCCTGGGAGGCCAAGGCGGCAGTGAGCCATGATCAAGCCACTATACTCCAGCCAGGGCAACAGAATAAGACTCTTTAAAAAAAAAAAATCCAAAGGATAATTCCAAAGTACAATTCCAGGTAGGTATGGCGGGAGTACAAGACCAGCCAACAGGACAAGACTTTGCCTCTTAAAAAAAAATATGGAAAAAATTAAGCAAAGTGTATAATTAAATGGCTTTTAGTATCTTCACAGAGTTATGCATCCAACACCATAACCAATTTTAGATTGTTCTCATCACCCTCCCAAAGAAACCCCACACCCTTATAGCCATCAACTTCTAATCCCCCATACCCTTAAGCACCAGGCAATCCCTAATCTACTTTCTGTCTCTCTATATATTCGATATTTTATATAAATAGAATCAAACAGTATGGGGCTCTTTGTGACAACCTTTTTTCTTTTAAAAAAGTTATTTATTTATTTTTTTTTTGAGACAGTTTCGCTTTTGTCACCCAGGTTGGAGTGCAGTGGTGTGATCTCAGCTCACTGCAACCTCCATCTCCTGGGTTCAAGCAATTCTTCTGCCTCAACCTCCCAAGTAGCTGGGATTACAGGTGACCGCTACCAAGCCTAGCTAATTTTTTGTATTTTTAGTAGAGATGGGATTTCGCCATGTTGGGCAGGCTGGTCTTAAACTTCTGACCTCTCAGGTGATCTGCCCACCTCAGCCTCCCAAAGTGTTGGGATTACAGGCATGAGCCACCACACTTGGCCTATTTATTTATTTTTTTTAGAGACAAGGTTTTGCTCTGTCACCCAGACTGGAGTGCAGTGGCTCTATCACGGCTCATTGCAGCCTCAAACTCCTGCAGCCTCGACCTCCAGGGCTCAGGTGATCCTCCCATCTCAGCCTCCTGAGTAGCTGGGACTATAGGCCCACGCCGCCATGCCCAGCTGATTTAAAATTTTTGTTTTGTAGAGATGAGATCTCACCATGTTGCCCAGGCTGGTCTCAAACTCCTGGGCTCAAGTGATCCTCCCACCTCTGCCTCCCAAAGTGCTGAGAGTACAGGCGTGAACCACTGTGCCCAGCTTGTTACATTTTTCAATTGTGTTGTTTTTGTTCTTAAGCAGCGCCCACCTTTGCTGATACGGGAATGGTGGCTCACATAAACAACAGCCGGCTCAAGGCCAAGGGCGTCGGCCAGCACCACAATGCCCATAACTTTGGTAACCAGAGCTTTGAGGAGCTGCAGGCAGCCTGTCTAAGAAAGGGGGAGCTGTTCGAGGACCCCTTATTCCCTGCTGAACCCAGCTCACTGGGCTTCAAGGAACTGGGTCCCAACTCCAAAAATGTGCAGAACGTCTGCTGGCAGCGGCCCAAGGTGAGCGCTGGAAGGGAGGCATGGATCCTTGGACGGAGGGGAGCTTGTAGTGATCCCTCTGTTACTTTTATAATCTTCAACCCCCACCACCCTCTTCTGACCCTGGGACTAGGCCCCACCTTCATCAGAGCTGGGGACAGTTCTGAATATGCTTAAGTCAAACCTCCCAGGTAACCCTAAAGGAAATCACCCAACAACCCCTGCTATCATGCCAAGTTGGTCCTGTACCCTCTCCCCTCCCCTCTATCTGTTCCTCTGGAACTTCAAGGTGGACATCATTCCCCAGCAAAGGTGGGAGAAAGGTGGGGAGGGGGTGTCCCGGGTCCCCTGAAACCTTTATTCCTTCACTGAAGGACATCATAAGCAACCCTGTATTCATCATGGATGGGATTTCTCCAACAGACATCTGCCAGGGGATCCTCGGTGAGTGGGGCGAGGGAAGCTGGTCTCCACTTGGGGAAGGGGAGCTGGGGGAGGGGTGCTAGGGTGTCCTTTGAAGCTGGAAAACAGGGAGCCCTGAGTTTCAGACAGCCTGCTTCTGTTTCCCTGTCCCTCCCCTTCTGAGGAGATGACAGTGAGAACACCATGCATTCTCCCTGACCCTCCCAAGTCTGGATGTCACTCCCTGCCTGCTGCCGTCTGGGTCTTGGGGGGGATATTAGTTATCTAGGGCTACATAATAAATTACCCAGGACTTAGCAACTTCAAACAAACAAACAAAAAACAAATTTTCTTATCTCACATTTTCTGTGGGTCAGAAATTCAGAAGCAGAATCACCGGATGGGTCTGGTTCAGGGTTTCTCAGGAGATTGTAGTCAACATGTCTGCAACCTGTGATCATCTGGAGGCTCGCCTGGGGCTGGAGGGTCTGCTCCTAGGTGGGTGCACTCACACGGCAGGAGCTCTCAGGTCTTTGCTGGCTGTTGGCAGGAGGCCCCAGTTCCTCGCCATGTAGGCTTCTCCACAGGGCTGCTTGAGTGTCCACACAACATGGTAGCTTGCTCTTCCAAAGCGAGGTATCTAAGAGAGAGGACAAGGAGGAAGCCATAATGCCTTTTCTGACCTAGTCTCAGAAGTCACACATCATAATTTCTACCATATTCTATTTGTTAGAAGCAAGTACTGAATCTGGTCCACACTCAAGAGGAAAGGAATTAGGCTCTACCTTTGGAAGGGAAGATGGTCGAAGAATTTGCGGAAAGCACTAGAACCTGCTAAATCTTGGGTATCAAATAGGACGGCAACGGGGTCCAATCAGCCCACTCTCACACAGGCTCCCACAGAAAGCCCCAGGGTAGATCTTCCTCCCTAAGCCTGGTCCTGTTCCACGGTTTCCTCCAGATTCCTTGTTGGCTCTTTAGGGATAAAGCCAGGGTGGACTTTCTCTGAGACTGAATTCTGTCCCCTTGGGGCAAAGAAAAGGGCAAGGTGTGGGCAGAGCAGAAGCCAAGGAGACCTTAGGCCCCAAGGCCACTGCTGTGGCTGCTGTGGCTCAGTAGGCTGGAGGGACAATGAGCTGGAGGAGGAGGGAATTAGCTTCTCCCAGGCACTCAAACAAGGATAGGGATTGGGGCATCCTTGATATTCCTCTCTCCAGGCAGCCAGGAGGCCACTAGTAATCACAGAAACTTTCCGGTCCCTCAACCTCAGCCTGGCCCAGGTTGCCCATCACCCTGCCCCTGGGCCCCACCCAGCAAGGGCTGAGATGCTCAGGAGACAGGTGGCAATGGAGGACTGTAGTGTTCGTCTCCCATAGGATTCCCTTCAGCTAAACTTCAGCCCAGGGACACTGCCCCATACCCCCATTGATGCCTAGTTCCAGGGATCTTGCTGGGGTACACATTCAGCCCTGGGTACCCAATATAATGTGGGTGACATGAGGGAGAGATCTCCTGGGACCTTCATGGTCACACCAATGTACTCACAGGGTGCAGGAAGGTGACTGGATCTGTTGGAAGAATGTGGAGAGAGTATTGGCTGTCTCTCAAGGAAAGCTGGTTACCGGTCAGGTGCTGTGGTTCATACCTGTAATTCCAGCACCTTGGGAAGCCAAGGCAGGAGGATTGCTTGGGTCCAGGAGTTCAAGGTCAGCTTGGGCAGCATAGTGAGATTCTGTCTCTACTTATATATAAAAATTTACATTAAAAAAATACTAGGAAGGCCAGGCACAGTGGCTCATGCCTGTAATCCCAGCACTTTGGGAGACCGAGGAGGGCAGACCACAAGGTCAGGAGTTCGAGACCAGCCTGGTCAATATAGTGAAACCCCATCTCTACTAAAAATACAAAAATTAGCCAGGTGTAGTGACAGGCACCTGTAGTCCCAGCTGCTTGGAAGGCTGAGGCAGGAGAATCACTTGAACCCAGGAGGCAGAAGTTGCAGTGAGCCAAGATTGTGCCACTGCACTCCAGCCTGGGTAACAGAGCAAGACTCCATCTCAAAAAACAAAACAAAACAAAATAAAAACTAGGAAAATAGGTTCCTAGAGCCTGAGGCCAAAAGTACCTCTTTCTCAAACTCAAGAAAACAAAAGCATGTGGCTCTCATGTAATGGAAACGGTACAGCCAGGCGCAGTAGCTCATGCCTGTAATCCTAACACTTTGGGAGGCTGAGGCTGGCAGATCTCTTGAGGCCAAGAGTTCAAGACCAGCCTGGCCAACATGGTGAAACCCCATCTCTACTAAATATATAAAAATCAGCCAGGTGTGGTAGTGGGCATCTGTGGTCCTAGCTACTCAGGAGGCTGAGACAGGAGAGTCACTCAAACCTGGGAGGAGGAAGTTGCAGTGAGCTGAGATCACACCACCACAGTCCAGCCTGGGCGACACAGCAAGGCCCTGTCTCAAGAAAGCGTACAGAAACTCACCTCACCAGAGAGTCTCTGCCTTCAGTGTCTCCGTTTGCCTCCTTCCTGAACACTCTTCAGTGGGAGGGCGGAGGGAAGGTGGGTCTCTGCCAAGGGGTGAGAATGGGGTAGAGGGTCAAGTTTCTGTTCCCCTAGGCCTTGGATTCTGAGGCCCACCCAGACATATGGGGGTGCTCAGGGGTGGCAAAGCCCTGCCTGTCTTTTCCAGGGGACTGCTGGCTGCTGGCTGCCATCGGCTCCCTTACCACCTGCCCCAAACTGCTGTACCGCGTGGTGCCCCGGGGGCAGGGCTTCAAGAAAAACTATGCCGGCATCTTCCATTTTCAGGTGAAGGACAGTGTGAGAGCCGCGTGGCTTTGTGGGGCTTGTAGGGGGTGGGGTGGGAGAATCATATATGCTTTGAAGTTCACCTTCTTTCCTTTTGGAAAATAGCATTTATTCGGGTGGGTTTTTGGCTAATTATCAGAGAAATATCTGCCCACCAAAGAAAGCATGTAAGCTAATTTTTTAAGTCCCAAAAGAAAAGAAGCCTTAACAATTTGTGGCTGTCTTTCTCCATTCTCCTTCTCTTCCTCTCCATTGTGTGTGTGGGTATATGTGACTTTGGTAGTCTTTGTCACATAATTTTTGTAATCTGCCCCTTTAACTTAGCAACATATGGACAAATTCCCCAGGGAGGTCTTGGCAGAAGCAGGAGAGGAGGCAGGGAAGGGGAGGAGGGGCCGGGCTCAGGCTTCGGGTTACCTTTCCCGCACTATTCAGTGATTCTGGAAAGTGGAGCCTCTGACACTGGCGTGTCATCAGGCCTGGCCACTAGGAGGCGCTTGATGACAGGGTTCCCACGCAAGGGGTGTGTGTTGCTACCCACAGATTTGGCAGTTTGGGCAGTGGGTGAATGTGGTGGTGGATGACCGGCTACCCACAAAAAATGATAAGCTGGTGTTCGTGCACTCAAACGCACGCAATGAGTTCTGGAGCGCCCTGCTGGAGAAGGCGTATGCCAAGTGAGTGCTGGGAGCCAAAGAAGGGGGCTTGCCTTGCCTCTGTGGGGGCAGCTGGAATCAGGGGGAGGGAAGGGGGTGGCAGGACATCCCTCCTTCCCCTCACCTCCACCCTAGAGCTCAACAGTGCCCTCTCTGTGCCCACAGGCTGAGTGGGTCCTATGAAGCGCTGTCAGGGGGCAATACCATGGAAGGCTTTGAGGACTTCACAGGAGGTGTGGCCCAGAGCTTCCAACTCCGGAGGCCCCCTCAGAACCTGCTCAGGCTCCTTAGGAAGGCTGTGGAGCGATCCTCCCTCATGGGCTGCTGCATTGAAGTAAGCAAAGCATGGTCCCACCTCAGGGCCTTTGCACCTGCTGCTGCTATCACCTAAAAGCCTCTTCCCCCAGTATCTGCGTGGCCAGCACTTCTCATTCATTTCAACTGCCCTTTCCCCAGATTAGCCTTCCCTGCCTCCCCACCTTGTTTACTTTCTACCTGGTTTTTACCTTCTCCCCAACATTTATTGTGACTTGAAATTCTCTTGCTTCTCTATGTTTTCACTCATAGCTCATCTTCTCCAGATAGTACTCACGTTCCATGAGGACAGTGACCTTATTTGTCTCATTCACTGCTGGACCCTGGAACTTAGGAAGGAGCCCAGCATGCAATAGGCACCCAACCAACATTTGTTGGAAGAAATACATGAACCCAGGGTGCTACATATGACCCTGCATTCTTGCCACTTATCCCAGAGAAATGAAGACATGTCTCCAAAAATGTTTGTACACATATGTGTATGGCAACTTTATTCATAATAGCCCGCAAACAGGAAACAACCTAGATGTCCTTCAATAAGTAAATGATTCAATAAACTGTGTTGATTACACACTGTGGAATACTACTCAGCAATAAAAAAGAACAAACTATTGATACTTGGAGAAACTAGGACAGATCTCAGAGGAATTATACTAAATGAAAAAAGCCAACCCCAGCCAGGTCCAGTGGCTCACGCCTGTAATCTTAAAGCAGGAAGATTGCTTGAGCCCGGGAGTTTGAGACCAGCCTAAGCAATATAGTGAGACCGCATCTCTACAAAAAAAAAAAAAAAAAAAAATTAATTAGCTGAGAAAAAGGGGAAAAAAAGACAACCCCCCAAAGGAGGTTACACATTGCATGATTCTATTTAAATGACATTTTTTTTTTTTTGAGACAGGCTCACTCTGTCGCCCAGGGTGGAGTGTAGTAGTGCCATCGTGTCTCACTGCAACCTCCGCCTCCCGGGTTCAAGTGATTCTCCTCCCTCAGCCTTCCGAGAGTAGCTGAGATTACAGGCACCCGCCACCATGCGCAGCTAAGTTTTGTATTTTTAGTACAGACGGGGTTTCGCCATGTTGGCCAGGCTGGTCTCTAACTCCTCAGGTGATCCGCCTGCCTCGGCCTCCCAAAGTGCTGGGACTACAGGCCTGAGCCACTGTGCCTGGCCTTAAATGACATTCTTGAAATTACAAAGTAATATAAATTAAGAACAGATGAGTGGTTTCCAGGGTTTATGGAAGAGGACTCGTGAGAAGAGATGGGTTTGGTTATAAAAGGGCGACACGAGGGATACTTGTGGTGATGGAAATGTTCTATATCTTGACTGTGGTAGTGGCTACACGAAACTACATGTAATGGAATTGCATAGAACACACAGAAGTGAGCACTAGTAAAACCGGGGAAATTTGTATAAGGTTCACAGATTGCATCCTTATCAACATTCTGGGCAGGACGCCATGACTCACACCTGTAATCCCAGCACTTTGGGAGGCTGAAGGGGGCAGATTGCTTGAGCCCAGGAGTTTCAGACAAGCCTGGGCAACATGGCAAGACCCCATCTCTACTAAAAATACCAAAACTAGCGGGGCATGGTGGTGAGAGACTGTAGTCCCAGCTACCCAGGAGGCCAAGGTGGGAAGCTCGCTTGAGCCTAGGAGGTCTAGGCTGCAGTCAACCGAGATCACACCACTGCACTCCAGCCTGGGTGACACAGTGAGACCCTGTCTCAAAAGTAATAATAAAACTGGGTGCAGTAGCTCAGGCTTGTAATCCCAGCACTTTGGGCGGCCGAGACAGGAGGATCGCCTGAGGTCAGGAGTTTGAGATCAGCCCCGCCAAGATGGTGAAACCCCATCTCTACTAAAAATACAAAAAAGTAGCCAGGCGTGGTGGCAGATGCCTGTAATCCCAACTACTTGGGAGGCTGAGGCAGGAGAATCATTTGAACCTGGGAGGCAGAGGTTGCAGTGAGCCGAGATTGCACCACTGCACTCCAGCCTGGGCAACAAAAACGAAGCTCCGTCTCAAATAATAATAATAATTGTAAAAATGTTCTTTTTTTGGTATTTCACTGTAGTTTTGCCGGATGTTACCACTGGGGGAAACTGAGTATGCGATACTTGGGATTTCTCTGCATTATTTCTTAATACATGTGAATCTACAGTTATTTCAAAATAATGGTAATAATTTAAAAGCTTAGTTTTGGTTCTGGACACCAAGCTAGAGCCGGCAGCTGCTGCAGATGAAAGGCAGGAAAGGGCAGGCCGTGTGAGCAGACAGATGAGCCGACTAGGTAGCCAACCAATAACAACGCACTAAGGTCGCACACTACCGCTTGCGCATCTGACCAACCGCCCATCTAGCCAACCCGAGCCCCTCCACTGTCCACTCAGGTTGGGCGGGTCCGGGCCCGCCTGCCGTGGCAGCCCCATCAGGAACACTGGCATCTGTTTCCTTCAATTCTCGGGATTTGAAGATGGCTGGACAGTTAGCACCAAAAGTGATGGTGAAAAGCACCACCAAGATGTCTCTAAATGAGCGCTTTGCTAATATGCTGAGGAACAAACAGCTGACGCCAGTGACTATTCCATCTTTGATGCAGGACCAACAGCAGCCAGCCAGTGCCAGAAACAGAAGACTGGCCCAGCAGAGGGAGACTAGACCCTCTGTCCAGTCAGCATTCAAACTTTAGCAGGCCGGGCGCGGTGGCTCACATCTGTAATCCCAGCACTTTGGGAGGCCAAGGTGAGCGGATCACCTGAGGTCAGGAGTTTGAGACCAGCCTGACCACATGGAGAAACCCCATCTCTAGTAAAAATACAAAATTAGCCAGGCGTAGTGGCACATGCCTGTAATCCCAGCTACTCAAGAGGCTGAGGCAGGAGAATTGCTTGAACTCAGGAAGCCAAGGTTGCAGTGAGCCGAGATCACGCCATGGCATACCAGCCTGGGTGACGAAAGTGAAACTCCATCTCAAAAAAAAAAAAAAACAAAAACAACTTAAGCAGAAGAGCTTAAAGCAGTCTGGGTAAGAGTAACAACCAGACATGGTTAGGCACAGGGGCCCTGGCCAGGGGAGCAGATGGAGGACAAGTCCTACCCATAATCCAGAGAGGCTTGCCCAGAGGAGGACTACGTGGGGGACAAGCCACCAGAACCCTGCTTAGGGGCGGGATGTCGCTCAGAGGTCAAAACCTGCTCTGAGGTGGACAAGCCATAGCTCCCTGAATGGGCTTAAGAAAAGGTGGTGGTCGAGGTTGTGGACGTCCTGGGAGAGGGAGCCTAGGGTGTAGAGCCATGGGTCATGGCAGAATCGGTGGTAGAGGTCCAGGTATGATAGGTCGGGAAAGAGGGGGCTTTGGAGGCTGAGGCCAAGGCAGTGGACGAGGAAGAGGTGCCCTTGCTAGCCCTGTATTGACCAAGGAGCAGCTGGACAACAACTTGGATGCATACGTGTTGAAAACAAAAGGACACCTGGATGCTGAGTTGGATGCCCACATGGCGCAGACAGATTCTGAAGCCAATGAGTGAAGCCTGCCCACTGCTCACCCTCCTGTGAGAGACTCTTGTTGGTCAACACATCTGTAAATAACCTTGAGGTAACAGACGAGAAGAAATCTGATTGATGCTGGATGGACCCATCACAATAGGCTGTGGACTTACTTGCCACCAGCTTGTGCATTTAGTGTGTTCCTTTTACTTGTTGATACTGTGTTGTATGAAACCCTTTGTCCTTTGATTTAGTTTTAGTTTTTGGTTGTTTTTTAGGGGGGGGATTCCCCTCCTTTGCCCGGACTTCTCTTTGAACACAAATGTGTTAGCCTTGTGGCTAGAACTCCCTTTTCCTACCTCTGCCTTCCCTCACTCGTCACAGGCTCTGACATGCTAACATTTCTTTTGTTGATCTCTGTTGCCTCCACAAAAAGGTCCCAGAAAAAAAACGGTCAGTGTTCATCCCTGATGCTTAGGTTTCTGACATAGCGTTCTGTTACATCCTCTTCAGCAGCCTCTTTAAAATGCTTAGAAAGTCTGGAGCTCAAAAATGCATTCTCCCACATTGGTAATTTAGTAAACTGAGAACACCGAATCATTCCAGGGCAGCATCAGAGGTTGACTGAAGTTGCTGCCATGTACATTGACACCACATGTCATAACCAGTGTGCTGGGTTGAACTGTACTTTCTACCCTTGTATAAGATTGACAAACTTTCCTCTTGGCTTTGTATCACATCCAGAAGGGTACTATAGGGTTGGTTTATACCTACAATACAGAGGAAGAAGCCATTTGATTTGGCAGGTGTGTGGGAAGGGAGAATGGTGGCAGGTGAAGGGCTGGAAGAGGTCAGAAGATACCCATGCTAAAATGCAGTTATCCTCATGTTCATCCCAAACCAATCTTGGACTTTTCCACTCATGAACTTTGTTTCTCCCTTATTTTCCTTGAAAGTTTAAGTTCAAGCATAGTCTGTCAACTGTTCCAGTTTCATTGGAATCTTATATTTCTTATAAATCTTATATTTAAAATCTTATATTTAAAACAAAAGTTTGTTTTAAAAAATGAACCTGGAGAACTCTTATCTTCCTTTGGGTGCCCCGTCCCTCTGACCAGGTCCTCCGTGCCCTTCCTCCCTCTCTGTTCTGTAGGTCACCAGCGATAGTGAACTGGAGTCCATGACCGACAAGCTGCTGGTGAGAGGGCACGCTTACTCAGTGACTGGCCTTCGGGATGTGAGTCCTGAGAACTGTGCCCTACCCTGAGGACCCTAAGAAGGAGGAGAACGTCCCCCTGGCCCCATAACTCTGACCTTTAACCCCCCCACACACCCAGGTCCACTACAGAGGCAAAATGGAAACACTGATTCGGGTCCGGAATCCCTGGGGCCGGATAGAGTGGAATGGAGCTTGGAGTGACAAGTAGGTGCCCCCAACCTAGGTGAGGAGTGGTTGGAGGATGCAGCAGGCAGTGCCAGGTGGACCCACTGGTGTCCCATTTGGGAGGACAACCTGTGTCCCAGGGCAAAGCCCCTCCCTCTAGATTCTCCATCTAGCTCCACAACCCAGGGGGCAGACATTCAGGTAAGAGGGAGTCCCTTGGAGAGGAAGGAGGTGCCATGTGACCTCCTCCCCTCTCCTTCCACCACCATCTCTGCTCCAGTGCCAAAGAGTGGGAAGAGGTGGCCCCAGACATCCAGATGCAGCTGCTGCATAGGATGGAGGATGGAGAGTTCTGGTCAGTGTGGCTTGGGTTGGGCTTCCTACCACCACCCCAGGCCCTGGTCCTTCATCTCCCTGCTCCACTCCTCTCTGTCCCTTGGATGGGGAGGCTCCCGGTGGGGGTAGGGGTGGTTCAGGGAGAGGGACCCGAGGATGCAAGTGTGCTGTTGATGGGGTCCACCCCAACCCCACCGCAGGATGTCCTACCAAGATTTCCTGAATAACTTCACACTCCTGGAGATCTGCAACCTCACGCCTGATGCACTCTCTGGTGACAACAAGAGCTCCTGGCACACCATCTTCTACGAGGGCAGCTGGCGCAGGGGCAGCACCGCAGGGGGCTGCAGGAACCACCCCAGTGGGTGCCGGGGCTCAGGGGGAGGGGCATGTGCAGGGAGTGAAGGATGGGCTGCAGCTCACCATGAAACCAGACCTAGGGCACAAGTAATTCCGGTCGGGTCCATGGTCAGACTTCACAGCCCCTGTGGAGGAGACAGATCCTGTGTGGCTGGAGAGGCTCAGTCCACCCAGGGAAGGGCGTGGCCAAGGAAAGTCCCCATATAACCTTGCTGACCTGCTTCCACCACAGACACGTTCTGGACCAACCCCCAGTTTAAGATCTCTCTCCCTGAGGGGGACGACCCAGAAGATGACGCAGAGGATGATGCAGTGGTCTGTACCTGCCTGGTGGCCCTGATGCAGAAGAACTGGCGGCATGCCCGGCAGCAGGGAGTCCAGCTGCAGACCATCGGCTTTGTCCTCTACTCGGTGGGTGCCTGGCTGGTCCCCGAGGGCCACTCACACTCCCTCATCTGGCCTCACTCCTTTTTTTTTTTGTTTTTGGAGACAGAGTCTCACTCTGTTGCCCAGAGTAGTGGCACAATGGAGTGTAGTGGCACAATCCCCATTCACTGCAACTTCTGCCTCCCCAGTTCAATCAATTCTCATGCCTCAGCTTTCCCCGTAGCTGGGGGCGCACATCACCATGCCCTGCTAATTTTTGAATTTTTAGTAGAGACAGGATTTCACCATGTTGGCTAGGCTGGTCTCGAACTCATGACTTCAGTTAATCTGCCTGTCTCCGCCTCCCAAAGTGCTGTAATTACAGGCATGAGCCACCACACCTGGCCTCCTGGCCTCACTCCTTTCTCCCCAGGGCCACTTCCTGCCTGGGAGAGGTACAGGCTCCAATAGGCTTCACAGCCCTGATTTTTTTTTTTTAAGACAGAGTCTCACTCTGTTGCCCAGGTTGGACTGCAGAGGCGCGATCACGGCTCTGATCTCCCAGGCTCAAGCAATCCTCCCACCTCAGCTTCCTGAGTAGCTAGGATTACAGGCAGTTGCCCTGCTAGTTTTTGTTTGTTGGTTTGTTTTAGTAGAGACAGGGTCTCACTGTGTTGCCCAGACTGAGCCCTAACTCTCGAATGGTGCTTTGTGCTCTTCAAGGCAGAGCCGGCAGCTTCCTCTTCACAAGTTTTATCCTTTGCCAGGCATCGTTCCAAAGGCCTTAGGAATACGAACTGCTAATGCCTTTAAGGAAGCGGAAAGAGCCTGCGTACCAGAGATGTGAAGCCACTTGCCCAAGCTCACACATCCAAAGGTCAAGGCGAAGCCTGTGCCCTGATTCCCAGCGCTCTGAGAGTTCCCCACACCCCCACCCCCGCAATCATCCATCCCCCTTGCCTGCCCCACCAGCAGCACTCACTCCAGGAACCAAGAGAAAGCCCTGATAAGCATTTCCCAAGCAAACCATGCTTTGCAAAATTCTCCAAATGGCCAGTTGTTCATTCACTTGCATTCCCTTATATAAACAAGTATTTATGGAGCATCCGCTGTATGCCAGACCCGTGTCCAGTCTCCAGAGGTTCAATAGTGAGCAAAACAGACACAACCCTTGCCCTTCTCCTGGGGCCATTAGTCCACGAGGCTGACAGACTTGTGCCTCCGGATGATATTTTTGCTGGGGGAGGTGGCTCATGCCTGTTAGGTCAGCACTTTGGGAGGCTGAAGTGGGAGGATCACTTGGAGGATGCACAAGGAATTTAACACCAGCCTGGGCAACACAGCAAGACACTGTCTCAACAACAACAACAAAATTAGCAGGGCATAGTTGCCCACACCTGTGGTCCCAGATACTCGGGAAGCTGGAGTGAGAGGATCAGTTGAGCCCGGGAAGTCGAAGCTGCCGTGAGCCATGATTGCACCTCTGCCCTTCAGCCTGGGCGCAGAGTGAGACCCTGTCAAAAAAAAAAAAAAGACATCTTCAAAATTAAATAAGCTCAGGAAAGGCTCGACTCCAGCCCGAGCTCTCCAGTGCACGCAGCACATGGGAGGTGCTGCTGAGCTACCTCTGCAATAGAGCAACCTGTTTAATTGGGTTTAACTCACATTTTTACAAACTTACTTGTCCTCGATCCTCAATTTTAGTCATCTTCTATTCACTTCCTGCAGGATATGACTGTTCCATGGAAAAGCAAAACACTCTCCTAGATTTTTAGCCCAGTTCTTTCACTTTTCAGCCGTCTGAGGTTGGAGAAATCACCTCACATCTTTGGGATTCTGTTTCCGTTGCTTAACCTGGAATGATAAAAATCTACCTTGTATAAACTGTACTTTGCTATCCAAAGCTGAGGGCTTTTTATTTTTTTATTTTTTTTTTGAGATGGACTCTCACTGTCACCCAGGCTGGAGTGCAGTGATTCAATCCCGGTTCACTGCAACCTTTGCCCCCTGGGTTCAAGCAATCCTCTGCCTCAGCCTCCTGAGTAGCTGGGATTATAGGCACCCGCCACCACACCCGGATGATTTTTGGTTTTGTTTTGTTTTGTTTTGTTTTGAGACAGAGTTTTGCTCTTGTTGCCCAGGCTGAAGTACAATGGCACCATCTCGGTTCACTGCAACCTCTGCCTCCTGGGTTCAAGCGATTCTCCTGCCTCAGCCTCCCGAGTAGCTGGGATTACAGGCATGTACCACCATGCCCCGCTAATTTTGTATTTTTAGTAGAGATGGGGTTTCTCCGTGTTGGTCAGGCTGGTATCGAACTCCTGACCTGTCTTGGCCTCCCAAAGTGCTGGGATTATAGGCATGAGCCACTGCATCCAGTAATTTTTGTGTTTTTTAGTAGAGATGGGGTTTCACCATCTTGGCCAGGCTGGTCTTGAACTCCTGACCTCATGATCCACCTGACTCGGCCTCCAAAAGTGCTGGGATTACAAGCGTGAGCCACCATTCCTGGCCTCTTTTTTTTTTTTTTTTTTTTTTTTTTTTTTTTTTTTTTTTTTTTTTTTGAGACAGGGTTTCACTCTGCTGCCCAGGCTGGAGGGCAGTGACATGATCAAAAATCACTGCAGCTTTGACCTCCAGCTCAAGCAATCCTCCCACCTCCACAGAGAGGGACTGTTAATGCCAGGACCTTTGAACTGTCAGAGCCCATGCCCCACCCCGCCACCAGTGTCCTAGTGCCCTTAATACCCCTCCAGCAACACACACACACACACACACATACACACACACACACACACACACACACACACAGATGCACACTATACACATCCCGCTTGGCTTCCAAAGGCCTGAGCCCCTGCACCACCCTAGAGAACTGACACTCCTCTTCCTTTCCCTTCCCAGGTCCCAAAGGAGGTACAGAAGATAAAGACGTGGGGCTTGTTCCTGGACACACACCCCCCACCCCCTGGCTGCAAATGGATTGGCAAGGGGTGGAATTTGGCGAGAGGCTTTGGGGGTCACTGGGTTAGGATTCCAGGCCCCTTGGGGCCTGTTAGGGCTGGGGAAAGGAATGACCCTGTTGGAGTTACAGGCCACTTGGGTGGTGCCCAGGCTAGGTCAGTTGCTGGTGGCACCTACCCCCAACCCTGCCTGGCCCGGCTGTTCACCTTGGGGGACCCTCCCTCCCTAACCTCCCATGCCAGTCCTGTACCCACCTCCAGGGTGCGTATAGTTTCAGAACATCCAGGATGTCCCCTTGAAGAATGATTTCTTCACCAAGTATCAGGACCTTGGCTTCTCAGAAATCTTCGCCAACTCACGGGAGGTGAGCAGCCAACTCCGGCTGCCTCCGGGGGAATATCTCATTATTCCCTCCACCTTCGAGCCACACAGAGATGCTGACTTCCTGCTTCGGGTCTTCACCGAGAAGCACAGCGAGTCCTGGTGAGGGGCTGCCGCTCACTGCTCCAAGGCCTGCCACCCAAGAGCTACAGGATATCAATCTCAAGGAGCTGCTGTCATGCTATCAGGCCCTCCCTCACTTTGTCCCTTTTTTTTTTTTTTTTTTTTTTTTTGAGACAGAGTCTCACTCCGTCACCAGGCGCCAGGCTGGAGTGCAGTGGCGCGACCTCGGCTCACCACAACCTCCGCCTCCCCCGTTCAAGCGATTATCCTGCCTCAGCCTCCTGAGTAGCTGGGATTACAGGCGCGCAGCACCACACCCGGCTAATCTTTGTATTTTTAGTAGAGATGGGGTTTCACCATGTTGGTCAGGCTGGTCTCAAACTCCTGACATTGTGATCCGCCCACTTCAGCCTCCCAAAGTGCTGGGATTACAGGTGTGAGCCACCACCCAGCCACTTTCTCCCTATTTTACAGTCAGGGAAACTGAGGCATGAGAAGGTGAAGCCCCAGTCAGTGGCAGAATCAGAACTAGAGCTAGAACCCAGATTCCGCGGAGCTGCCCTATATTGTTTCAAAGACATGACATGACCCCCAGAGCACCCTGCTGAAATTCCCGTCTCCCTGCCCCTGGGTAACTCCTGAGCTTTAAATCACCTTTGCCCAGGGAATTGGATGAAGTCAACTATGCTGAGCAACTCCAAGAGGTGAGGGGAGGCTGTAGGGCTGGGGGCTGGAAGGAAGCTCCTGGGGCTGTGAAGGAAGTTTTCTGACCAGGTTCCTCTCCTGCTCCCTTGCCCCCAGGAAAAGGTCTCTGAGGATGAGATCGACCAGGACTTCCTACATTTGTTTAAAATAGTGGCAGGAGAAGTGAGCAGGCCAAGGGCGGAGGGCTGACGGGAGGGGGATGAGGGGCTGGAGGGGCCCGAGTCGGGGTTCACAGTCCCCCTTCCTAGGGCAAAGAGATAGGCGTGTACGAGCTGCAGAGGCTGCTCAACAGGATGGCCCTCAAATGTGAGTCTTCCACCCACCACGCACAACCCCTCCCCCATATTTTGTGCCCCTCTTGATCACTCCGGGTGCCCCCCATGGTACTGCATTCACCCTGCCTCTCCTTTCTACACCTTCCCTTCCTCACAGTCACAAGCTTCAAGACCAAGGGCTTTGGCCTGGACACTTGCCGCTGCATGATCAACCTCATAGATGTATCCTCCTGTCCCCTGCCCCAAGCCTGGTCCAGAGATGGCCACCCTGGCTCTGGGATTAGGCTCTGGGGTAGCAGAAGATGCCAGTTCTTCTGGCTGCTACAGTAGTGGGGCTCCAGGGCTTGTGTGCCCCCTCGGGAAGCCCCACTGCTTCCCTGTCTCCTAGGAGGCCCTCTTCACTCCCTTCTCTGGGGTCCTTGACCACCTTCCAGAAAGACGGCTCTGGCAAGCTGGGGCTTCTAGAGTTCCAGATCCTGTGGAAAAAACTCAAGAAATGGACGGTAAAGGGCACGAAAGGGGCAGCCTCAGGGATTAGGAAAAGAGGGTCTCCGGAGAGGTGGAAATAGTGAGGGGAAGCTAGAACCAGAACCCTAACTACCCCCCACATACTCACACACACACACAACCACACCACACACACACAGGCTTACACACAACCACATCACACACACATGCTTACGCTCACACACAACCACACCACACACACACACGCTTACACAACCACATCACACACATACACACATGCTCACACACACACACAACCACACCACACACACACGCTTATACTTACAACCACACCACACACATACACACATGCTCACACACACACAACCACACCACACACACACATGCTCACACAACCACACCACACACATACACACATGCTCACACACACACGCAACCACACCACACACATACACATGCTTGCACACACACACAACCACACCACACACACACACACATGCTTACAGTCACACACAACCACACCACA